ACCAAGGGAGCGCCGCCCTGTTTCTCTTCGGTCCGAATTGACTTCCCTTTGTGGCATGATCAAGCAAAGCCAAGTTTCATTGCCACTTAAAGGACTTTCCCTCAACTGTGCAATGTTGGGGACACATAACGAGCGACCCCTTTCTGCACACCAAACAGGCATGCACAGCACACCCGAAGCAAATCAACTAGCACACCGAAAGGGAAACCAACAGCCGGAGGCCTCTTGATCCTTTCCGGACAGGCACCGCGGCGGCGGTGGCACATGCACTCGCCGTCTTTGTGGCGACTTGTCGACATGTCTTGGATGTTCAACTCAGTGAGTAAGTAGGTTGCAACCATGCTTGTCACTTGAGTAACTGGGGTTGGTTCCCTTATCTGTAGGTGATTTGCCGCCTGAAAGGGGTGATGTTGTCTCAAACAATGGCACCGGTGGTCTCTTCCTTTCTAGCCTGCCGCAAGTTCGGAAAACAATCAGGATTCCGAGAGCAGTTGCCTCTTGGTGTGACAAAGAGCTGGCAGAAGAGCCATCCTGATTCCCATCCAGGATGGGTTGGTCCCTTTCGGTTTTTGGTTCAGTAGCTTCATCTGCCTGTTGAAAATGCAGGGGCGCGGGGTGGACTGGGGCAAGTGGGGTGCCATGGTGAAAAGCGGGCTGGCCCCCCTTTAACAACCATGGTTACATCATACTTACACTTACTATCTTTTGATTGTTGACCAGGGGTTTGGGAGAGACTTCATTGGACGACATTGTCGGTGTTGCAAACCTTTCGTTTGACCACCCGCAGAAGTGAGCTTCGGGCTTTGACTCTGCCTGATATGGCCTGGGCATCCCCGTTTTTTTGTGGTCGAATTGGGAGACCCCCGGCCCCCTACCACGTTGCCAGGTAAGTGTTAAGATTAGGGGGACTCCCCTCCCTTCAAAAAATTGTGCTTTCCTTTGGATTCCCCTGTAAGCCAGGGAAACTGACCACCCCCCCCATTTTCTTTATCCTCCTCTTGTCTTACTTATGCGGCTATACACCCACTTGCCATGGTTGCAAGTTTTTCTAGTGGGTTATAGCCAGGGGGTTCGCCCAGACCAACGCATCCCACGCGCCCGGGTCATGCGATCGCGCCGCTAAGGACGGCGCGGCCGCGGCGGGGGGGACCATCAAGCAGAAGCAGCTGCTGGATGACATGATGATGGGCGTCGGCTCGCGCCCCGACGAATGTTGACCCAAGATCTAAGTAGAACCCGTCCCATTATTGGGGGGGTGTTCCCTCCCAAAAAGTGATGAATCCCCACTAAAAGGGGATACCCCTGTATTAATCAACCAGGGGTCTATTAATCCGGGGTTAACATCACCTCCTCCTTTTTGTCATTTTATGTTTACGGTTTCCTTCGGGCTCCTTAAAGGATGAATTTTTGCAACCATTTGAAACATGGCTTTTTCCACCAACATAAGGCGACACCACCATTGACAAGGCAATGTTCAGGTGTATAATGTAAGGATCCCTGTTCCATTTGCTTCAGAATATGCTGTTTCGTTGTTTTCTTCAAGGGACTCCATCCATGCTTTTTTTGTTCAGCAAATGGAGGGTTATCCAAGTCATCTGCTGCTGCTTCCCTTTCATCCGCCACTGGCGCTGACTTTGATGGTACAAAGAATGAGGCCGGTACGTTTGTGTTCAACCAATTTAGTGAGTAGGTGTAAGCCATCAGACTAACCCCGGTTCTTCGCGTTGTTCAAAACCAATCTGCAAGATCCATATGCCAAATTGCGGTTTCCCGAAGTTTGTAGCGGTGTCCCACTCCAGATTACGGGGTTATGGATCAAGGCTATTTTGAGCAGCTTATAGCTTTTGTTCTAAGCTACTTGTTGAGTGGGTTGAACATCCAGATTGGAGAAGGGGAATTGCTCGATTGCATCACTCCAGTTCTTCCTTTATGTTTCTCCCGAGGCTCTTGCTGGGTCGATTTTGTCACTGAGTTTGGGGCTCTGGCAGGTTTCCGCCGGGTTTTGAGGAGTTTTTTCGAGGTTTGGGGGCCCTGTTTTTCAGAAGGAGGACACGCTGATTCCCTCTCAAGCGGTCGGTTATCTTTAAGCTTCCCTTCAAGAACCATCCAAAAAGGGGCTCCCATGGCAACGAGACATGACTTTCACTCATCCTCGTCTTTTTTTTTGGGATTTCCCATGGTTGGGATGTTTAACAGACCTCACCAGACCAACTCGTGGCTGTGGAACAAGATGGCGTGTGGGTGGGTGCGGCAACTTTCTGTGAAGTGCGTGTGGAAAATTGGGTTTTAGCCAGTAGTGGAAGTTCAGCAGAAAATCTACCACGAGGGTCTCCATTTAAGATTGGGGGGGGGTCCTTTACTTTTGGGAGATTCACGGATACATCATACATCCAAACACCACCTGCTTCACAGGGGCATACTCTCAACCAGCTTGTATTTGGTTTCTGTTTAACCGGCCCCCAACTGATATCCTATAAGGGACCTTGTCCGTCAATCTGGGTTGACGTGAAGCACCATTCTTTGAAGCCACTCACTTCGGCCATGGTCATGGTTCACTTAAAGGAATCCGTATGGTTGATTGAGATCAACATCCTTTCTGTTCACAAACAGTCTCCTCCACCAGTTGGCAGGTGGTTTGTTCCAGTCTTCATAGGGCTTCATGCATCCCAACTGGTGCCAGGTGTAGATTTTGATCATCCACAGTAGCAACCGTAGCAACCATAGGAACGATGGCAACCGTAGGAACAATGGCAACCATAGCCATAGCAACCACAGGAACGATAGCAATCATAGGAACCACAAGAACCTCAGGGACCATATGAACCATGGAGAATAGATGCCTCTGAAACCGACCCCACGCTACGAATCGCTTCGCGCTTCGCGTCGGTGTAGAAGTCCACGAGGAGCTTCTCGGCGCTTCGGCAGCCGGAGAGTGCTCAGGTGGACGCCTTTGAGGCGAGAAATGGTGGGTGGCTGGCTGGATCGGTTGGTGGCCGGCTGGCCGGCTGGCTGGGTGTGCTTGTTTTCGGGTTAGTGAATGAGGGAATGACTGAGAATGACCCATGAACCTCATCCCTGAGAAAGTTTCCTTGCAGATCCGTTGGTTCATGCTCAAAGCCTTTATGCTCTGTTCAGAACCAGCAAACTTTCCGTGGTTCAAACGGAAAGGTAAAGCAAAACCAAATCCCAGTTTGGGGGGCGAAACCCCTATTTTGGCACACACACACACACACCTGTTGCCTGTGCTCAGTGGAAGTACAAACCTTAACTTCTTCCAAACTAGATCCACACTTGCGGCTTCAAGCCCGTATGGACGGGAACTGCCATCTGAGCCAAAAGCTAGCACCACCAGCTTTTCCACTTTTGGGGAAGGTTCAAATGGCGAGGAAGAAATCGAGCTCCTGGTCGCAGGGCTTTTGGCTCAGTCTACCAAGGATTTTCTCCTCCCATCGGGTTGATTCCCCATGTTCACCCATCCTTCGGTCCGAAACCACCCATCTTGGCAAGTCAACAATTGGGCTTTTCAAACATGGAGGCTCCTCTACCAGTATCTGTTGTTTTCTGCGCGTTCTGCAGTCTACAGAGAAACAAGCAAACCCGTTGTTCCGGGTTAAGAGGGCTCTGGCCTCTCCCCGGGCGCGAGAGCAAACCGCGCGAGGCCTCCTTGCAGGCCGGGCTGGCTGCCTCCGAGTCGGACGCCAATGCCAAAGGCTAGGCGTCGGATGGAAGCCCCAAGCCCCCCGAGCAAAGGGTGGACTCCGGGAGGGATTCTCCCGGCCGAACTGGGGGCTAAAGAAGGGGGGGGCTCATATCCTGGATAAGCCAAGTTGAGCTTTTGAGACCTTAAGGGCGGGTTCATAAGGGATACTCCGCCAGAAGATTGACCCCATATGAATCAACCCCAGTGCACTGATTCGGGTGTAGTCGGGAATCATCACTTGTGGAGGGGCTCCCCCCCCTATTGATTTGATAAACTGCTACACTGGGGTTGATGAATATGGGGTTAATTTTAGGGGGGGGTTCCCCTCTTATCCAGCGCTCCCCCCCCTATAGGCCCCCTAAAGGCCCATGAGTGTGTGTTTGTGGCTGGGCGTCCAGTTCTCAAGGATCGGTGGTTTGGATTGGAAGGGATTTTCTGGTTCTTGAGGGTAAATGGGAAACCACTCCACCGCCAACCAATCCAAACCAGCAAATGGAGGGAGGCTGACCCCTTGGCCAAAACCGCTCGGCTCGGGATCCCAGAAACCAACAAACATGTGCGTGACATTTGGGTTTGCTTCAATATTGGGCAACCCCCAAAAAGCTTTGCTTTCCCTTTTTTGTTTTCCTTTTTGAGCTGACCTCTTCCCAAAAAGTTGACACAGGTTTTTGTCAACCCATTGGGAACGTTGGACTTAGTAAGGCCTTGTTTGGAGCTTCGCAGGGTCGAATCCCATCGATCCAATGTCCAGGGGACCTCTGCGTCATCCACGCCTTGGCCTGCATCTTGGCGGGCTGCCGCAATGTGCCCTTCGGCTGGGCTTGTCGCCCCTCGGGCATGCGGGCGAGCGGGCGAGCGGCCGGCTTTGGGTTTCCGTGGTCTTTTTTTGCGGGGGAGAGGGTGTGGCCCAGGGCCCCGGTTTGGCGGTTCGTTCTTGTTTAGAATATGCTTGCGCCGGTCTTTTTTTGCGGCAGAACGGCTCGTTTTTTTATTACTATTTTTTTTTATGTCTTAATTCCCTTTAGACCTTGAGAAAGCACTATGGAAACATGGTGCTCCATCTTTGGAGTGGTTCCTACCAGAAACCTGCCCTTTTCCCCGGGCCACTGGAGGCCTACCTCCTCCCTCCCTTTGGACAGGGTTCAGGGGTTGTCGTTGATCAGATTTGGCGGCTTCCCTTTTTGACTGTTTGCTTTTTTGGTGTTTCCGTGTTTTCCCTTTTAGCCAGCCAAATGTCAACTCTTTGCAGTCTGCGTCTAGGAGGCTTTGGGCGGCTTGCCGTTGGGGGCTGTGCTTTGCGGACGACCGCAAGTCTGTTTTCGCCCTTTGATCATTTTGGTGCAACGACAGCAACCTTTGCAACATTCCTGCCTTTTTTGTTCCAGATACCATGCCTTCGCCTTCAGCTGCCATGGGCCTCCAAGTTGGAAACCACCTTCTTCTCGGCTTCTCGGCTCCAGGCCGTTTTTTCGGGCGCCCAAAGTTTGGACCCCCACGCCATTCGGGAAATTTGGCACCGCCGATGCCCTGAAAAAAATGCTGCTGCTCAATAGGGAATGTGGGGGATTAATCCAGGAATTGGTCCCCGAATAAAGGAAACCACATGGGATGGAAACACTTTTGGGGTCATTCCATTTCTCCTTCCCTGTCGCACCAAGAACTAGGTCCCCCAGTAGTGCCCTTTTATCCTTTGTTAAATTGACTGCAGAAAAAAGCTGGTACCCTTATTCCAACCCTCCACTGGAGGACCTAGAAGAAGAAGGTCACTGGGCCCGCGGCGCGCGCGCGAACTCGGCGCGGACGATACGCGAGGTGTGCTGCTGCCCCCGGTGCTCCGCGCCTGGGAGGAGGAGGGCGACGATCCGAGTCGGAGCTTGGCGGTGCTGGCAGAGGACTGGGCGGGTTTGGTGCCAGAGGGAACCCCCGGGAAGCGTGGGGGGCGGGGGGGAAAAGGGGCGGGGGGCGGGGGGGTGTCCCGTGCTTTTCTTTTGGTCAAGAAGATTTTTCAAGTTTGCCGCTGTTGAGGGAATCTATCACTACTATATTTTTTCTTCTCGGGGATTTCAGCAAATGGGCCAAGGTGAAAAAGGCAGCCTGAAAGGTCTGGTAGGAATCCTTCACATCCAAGCTGGGCGGTTTCCCTCCTTGAGGTCCTGGAGTCCTTAAGGGCTGGTGGGACTCTGGGTTCATTCATGCGGGGTGCCCATTCCCCAGTTCAAGAATCATGGAAGGGGGGGTGGAAGACAGTCCTCTTGGAAAGGCCAGTCCACTTCCATTGTTGGGAAGAGGGAAAGTAGGTCACATGCATGGCTGGGTTAGCTGGGCGTGGAGTGAATGTTTGATGTTGAAAGTGGAGATATGAAGCTCCAATCAACCTATCCAGTAGTTGGTGGTCGACTTCGCAGGAAGGTGCGCGCGCACCATGTTCGACTTGTATAACTTTCACATCGAATTGGATTTCGAGTCGGGCGAATAGGGCCGAGCTGCAGCGCAGGGCCTTCAAATCATCGAGTTGCGAAGAATCAATCTTTGAGCAACATCCTTGGCTACATGACCGCCATCCTACATAGTAGCTATTCGTTGTTGGGTACCCTCTATAATCAACCAGGCTTTATGAATACTGGGTCCATCTGCATTCGCCCAGGGGCTTGTTTTCCACAGCTTGAGGGTAGTGCGGCCCTGAACAGCAAAGCTAGACAACCAGTGAGCTTCTAGTAGGAAACTAGTACTGAACAAGCCCCCCCCACCCCCCAGTTTTCCCAGGTTTTTTCCGACGGGTTTCTGCTCGATAGCTCACATCTAGTGATGTAAGCCCTAAAATAGGGCACTTCCCAATGAACCGCTCCATCCAGCTACTTCAAACCCACCAGGCCAAATGGAGGGAGCAGAGCACGTGGGTTGGAAAGCGGGGGGGGGGGGGGAGGGGGGGCCCCAAAACAAAAGGGGCCCCAACGAAAGAAAAGGTGTTGGGTTTTGAAACAAAATCAAACACACATTGTTTTTTTAAAAGCATAAGCGCAAAATTCATTTGTTTTCAAATTCGTTTTCCTTCTTTAAGGAACATGACGTAACAAACAAAACGCAACAACAACATAAAACAAAAAAAAACAAAAAAACAGCAAAGAAAAATCATCACCCTTGTTTTTATTTAATAAACAACAAAATCAACTCGGCACAGGGGGGGAGCCAGGCCATGCTGGGCTCGTCTTCCCTGGCGCGGCTGGCGGATTTCCTGGACGGCGCCTTCAGCGCGGCGGGGCTGCCGCCGCTGCTGCCCCTGGACCACGCGGAGTGCCGCTCGCTCGCCTCGGCGTCGAAGCGAAGCGGCGCTGGTCGGGTGGTCTCATGGATCCGTCCCCACCCGAAAAATGGGGGGGAGGGAAGGGGGAGGGGTTTTGCTGGGGTTGATTTCGGTGGGAAGATTCCGTTGACATGGTGTTTTCTTGGGGTTTTCCTGGTGGGAAAGTCCGTTGAAATCGTTTCTATTGGGTTTCCCGGTGGGAAGTTCTGTTGAAACAATCCAAAAAGGGCACGTGCAAAAGAGCCCACAAGAGTGATTGGAATTCTCACTTGAGTGTTCAACTCGCTCGGGGGGTTTTAAGCGTGGTCATGACTTATTTTAGTCAGGAGCGGTCGCCAGAATGAGTGCAGAAGCGTCACCCCGAGATTCCCGCTACTCAAATGCGGGAGGTAGGTCAGAACCATGCAGGGGGGGTGCCTTGCAAGGCCGGTTCGGGGCGCGCAGCTTGGCTGTGACTTGGAGGTTTGTTACACCTCGCCCGGGGGGCCAAATAGACACGAGGGCTCAGCGAAGATGTTTAACGTTGACCCAGGATTAATAAGCCCGTCCCATTGTTAGGGGGGTGTTCCCTCCAAAAGTGGTCTGAATCCCCACTAAAAGGGGGCTACCCCCGCAATCAAAATCAACCAGGGGTTTGACTTCATCCGGGGTTAAGGAAGATACCTTTGGTCCATTTGGCCCATCGATCGTGGCTGGCCGTGGCTTCGGATGGATCTTAGGCCCCGACAGCGCCGCCACGCTGCTGGCGCTGTGCGCGGAGGAGGCCCCCGTGGCAAACCAACGCCCGGCGCCGGGCTGGGCGAGGCGAGGCGTCGTGGGAGTTTGGGGTGCAACAAAAGTGGGTGTATCTGTTTTGGCTAAGGGCTCCCCTCGCCGGACATTGCACAAAGCGAAAAGACGCCAAACTTTTCGCAAAAAGTCAAAAAGTCAAAAAGTTTTCGAGTTTTCGACTTTTTGAGTTTTCGACTTTTCGACTTTTCGAATTGCTGGGGACTTTTCGACTTTTCGGGTAGTCCGCCCCCGCTGTGGTTTGACTTTTCGACTTTTCGACTTTTCAACTTTTCGACTTTTCGATTTTGTTTTGACTTTTCGACTTTTCGACTTTTCTAGTTTTTTTTGTTTTTTAACAGCGCGGCTGCCCTTGGCTCGAAGAGTGCGGCCTAGCCCACTGATAAGCTCTCATGCCTTTGACTGCGACGTGCCCCTACAACTTTGCAGGCTCTGGTGGGCCCGGTGTCGCTTTTGTGGGGCGTGAAAGGCACGCGTCTCGAGCCCCACAAAGTCATCTAGTATGACTGCTCAAAGAAGAGTCCACAGACAAGCTTCAGCTCCAGAGCATCATCGGCGAGTTGGGCTTCCCCGTGTCGGCATCGCGAAGCGTGAAAGACTGGCCTGCAATATCTCTGCTTCCATCTTGGGGCGGGTGGTATGGCTCTCCACCTCCCTAAACTTTCCAGTCTTTGGCGGGCGTCAGTTTTGTGGGGCGTGAGAGGCTCGTGCTTTGAGCCCAACAAACTGGTGCTTAACAGCGGCGCGAAGCGCAGTGTAGCCCGCTTGAACTTTTTCACGTGAATAGCGTTAGAGAGCGAAAGGCTGATGGGGCACGAAAGGCTGGCCTGCTGCATCTCTGTCTTTATCTGGGGGTGGGGGATTACACAAGCTGATGCTTTCCAGAAAGGTCGCGGGATCCGGACTTGATGCTAGTTGGCAGACGTGTTTGCCTCAAGCGAATCTGTAGCGATGTGGCCAGAGATCTCGCATTGAAGATGTCACCGCAGCATGTTGTCCAGACCCTTTGGAGCGAGCTCAGTTGATCAGTGGTCATGTAGACACGATCTACGCAGCAGCCGCGCAGGGAGTCTGTTGCGTCACGTTGGCGCACGCCAATCTCGAGATGATCTCTTCGTTTTCGCCATGATTGCAGCTGTGCTACAGGAGTTTGCAGTGTCTGGAGATATCGCCGCTGTGCCCTTGCTGCAGCTTCCGACAGTGAATGAACAGCCTTCCCCACAAAGTTTTGAGCAGCAAGTGGTGCTTAAGTGGGGTTCTATTTGGCGCAGTAAAGCGCACGCTTTGTCCCAGGGAGCGCAGGAATCTTTTCAAGTCGTTTGGGCCCAGTGCCTGGTTTTTTGCAAATGGTGTTTCTTTTCGAAGACTTTTTGATGAGCGGGCGGTAGTGATTCATAATGTTGCTCTGCTGCTCGATGGTCTGCTCAGCCGACCTTCTGTGTCCGGTTTGCGACTTAAGGTGTGACTTGTGCAGGCGTAACAGAAAGGCTGCTAGAGTGACTTTCGTGAAACGTTCACCCGCCGTTTCCGCGGAAAAATAAGGCGTCCATGTGAAACGCATAGTGAAACCAATGCAACATAGACAATGGCACTTTCGGGCTGCTTGCGGCCGCTGCAGTATCCCTGCGCGCAGTGCTTCCCACCTGCGTGCGAATTTCCAGTTTCTGGCGGGCTTCCCATGTGTCGGTTTGAAGCAAAGCTTGATTGTGAGTGAGTTTTCTTTTGCGACCATTGCCACAGCTGACTGCCTTGCGCAATGCCCTTTGCAGCACTTCTTGGCTCCAGCAGGGGCGCGGCTTAGCCCGTCAAAGCAACAAACTGCAGCAGCGCTGCGCTCGATCAAAGTCGCCATGGGCGGCCCTGCGCGTGACGTAGCTCCGTCTCCGCTCTGCCTCGCAGGGGAGGAGACACCGCCGCCCCCGAGCGGGAGCGAAGGCTTTGCCCTTGTCGCCGCTGAAAGAGAGGACCTGCTTGCAACTCAAGCTGAGGCGCCGGACTACTTGAATGCCTTGGATGCTTTGGAGGTTGATGCCATTCGAGCGTATGCCGCATTGAAAGAAAAGGTCTCCTCGGCTGCGGACCTGTGTCAGGGTGCACGCGAGCAGCTACAGGATCTCGCAAGGCAGGCGTGGAAGATGGCATTCCATGCTGACTTCGATTTCGACGCTTCTGAGCTCGGCGAGAAAGCCCAGCAGCTCAAGCCAGAGGATCTCGAGAGATTTCACAACGCTTGGGCCAAGTTAGTGTACGATGTCAAAGAGGTATACCAAGCCATTGGCTTCCACCGGAGGCAAGACAATGTCAGCTTGCGATCATTCGTCACTTCGCACTGCTTGGGTTTCTTCTCCGACTTGCTTGAAACCTTGGTCCCGGACCCAGTCAACTCACAGGCAGACACGTCCCTTCGCTCTGCTTGCCCGTTCATCATCGCAGAAGCTGCTGGCCGTGTTTCAGTCGGGAACGGCTTGCCTCGTGATGGGCATGTGGTTTTCAGCGCTTTCCAGGGCCCGTGTGCTTATTATTGGAACGGCCCCACAGGTGGCCTTCGGAACCCCCCCCTGGAAGGAACTGAAAGTGACTGGAACGTGGCAGCTTCAAACTTGCCTCTTGTTGTGGCAGGAGAGTCAGCAGCGGGCAAGGACAACTTGAAGCGACTAGTGCTGGACTGGCTCAGCAAGCTGGGTGGTGAAGACAAGCCTGCCACGCATGCCCTGTTGCAAGGACAGGCGTTGGGGCACGGTGAATGGGCAGGGGCGGGAGACGTTCTTTGTGGGAGGGCAAGTCTTGCGCTCGTGCACCCGCTGCGCAATCCTCTGGTTTTTCAAGTGTGGTCTTAGCGCTTCGCTAAAACTAAAGCCTAGCACGGCCTAACCCATGGGAGGATCACTCACCGTCACGGGTATCATGGAGGAGTTGCTAGAGAACAGTGGTCAGCTCCAGATCATCAACGGCGAGCTGGAGAAGGTGATCAACAAGAGGAGGGAGAAGATGCTGCAGGAGAGTGACCTCATAGAACTCCTCGATGGTACAGACGCTTTTGGAAAGCGAACTGGGCAACAGAATGCTTGCTTGAAGCCTGTGGTTTGGGCTTTGCTGGGCGCACACCTCCAACATACGTGCGGGAGATGGGGTCCGACTCGAACGGGAGGCTCCGGTTTGTCATTAGCACCATCGACTCTGCGCAGGTGCAGACCACGGCCTTTGAGGAGAAGCTGGTGCCCCGTAACGCGTCCAACCAGCTGCTGGTCAGTGTGCTGCGGGAGATCCTCCGCGCGCAGCACGCTTCCGCAAGCCCAGACGCTGATCAGCCGGAGATGGCTGGCGGGCTAGCCTTACCAGAAGGAGGTGAGGCTCAGCAGCCAAGCAAGCGACGCATTCAGTTGCGGCTGCCGCGCAGCAAGCGCGCCAAGGCAGAGGGGGGCGGTCAGGGCCAGGGCAGCGAGATGGAAATTGAGCGCATGCAGTGGAGCGCCCCGGCAACTTTGGTGCTGGCAGGTGTGCTGGATGGCTCTGGCCAAGCTTGTGACAAGGCAGGCAAGTGCCCGGGTAGCTCAATGGTGACGAAGCACGCAGGAAAAGCGTTTGGGGCAATGGCGACAGCCAACGCAGCAATGCGGAATGGCATGCTTTGGTGGGCCCTCGGAGACAAGGTTCCAATTGATAGCCACGTCAGGATTTGGACAGCCTGCCGCAATTCCAAAAATGGAGATGTGCTCCACGAACCAGTTGCTGGCTGAGGGGCTGGTTGAGCAAAAGATCCTGGTGGACAAAAAGGCGTCAGAGACTGCCCCGCAGCCAGAGCCTGAGCTCATCCCAGACCTCGACCCCATTGACTTCGCAGCTAGGCGCCTCTTCGACGGCTTGGCCAGTGAAGCGGAGGGGGAGGAGACGCTGCTTGAGAAGGCCACCACTTTGAGCATGCCCTTCAAGATCAACAGCAAGACGGCGTGGTACAACTTCCGCCAGCTGCGCTTCAGTCGTGGCAGGAAGCGACAACAAGGCCTTGAGCTGAAGATGCTGAGTAAGAGCCTAGTTGTGCGCTCAGCACGCAGGTCTCGCTTCCAGTTGGGGCTGGCTGTGTCAACACTGAAGAGCCACCCCTCTTCTCGGCCGAAGCAGGAGCTAGATGGCAAGGCCCAGCAGGGCATCCTCGCGCTCGCGGCAAAATTCCCGGCGCGGCGTTGAAACTGTGGCCGCAGTCTCGCGCAAACAGCTACCCTTGTGACGTGAACATGCCAGTGTGGGCTAAGCCGCACTCCCTTGAGCCAAGACGCAGCAGCACGGAGCCACAGCGGTGTGAGCAGTCTCCTGCTGCAGTCAACACACGCAGCATATATCACGCACCGCCGTGAAGCACGGCAGTCAAGCACGACCCCACAAGCGCTCGCCAAGCCGATTTTCCCCAGCGCAGCACGGATCTTCGAGACCGCGCGATCCGCTTGGCAGGCGGCTCCTAAACTCTAGGACACTCACGGTACAGCTTGAGAGCAGCGTCGCTGACGCGGAGCTTTGTAAGCCACGTGTCAGCATCCCTGGTCCAGCAAAGCCTGACGTTTGTCGTCTGCCGCTGCCTTAGCCGCCTTCTGGCTCACGACATGACGCAGCAAAGTCTTCCACCCCTCGGCGGTCCCGTGGTCATTGAGCACCTTGCTTCCCCCGTAGCGCAGCAGTCCTGCCCAAATCCACAACTTGCCGTGCCCTACAAACCCGCACAAACCCTACGTCTATCGTTGAGAGCCTGCGCGATGCTGCGCATCATGCTTGCCCAATAGCAGCTGCTTGCGGTCCAACGCGGAGGAAGCGGAAGAGATCCAGACCAGCTACTGTTTCAGACTCCCACGGCCAAGCGCTCAATGTGCCCGAAGACCTGCTGTACGCCGCCATCGCGGAAAAATTTGCGGAGCAAAGGAAATGCTCGGGAGATTTGGAGCTTCTCTTCCCCTCATCCACACTGCTCAGCGTCCAAGCAAGCGTCGCTGCATTTGGTCTGTGGCCAAAAAAGGACGAGCTGCTTCAGTTGAGGCTGTTGAGTTCAGGCGAAGGCCTGTAGACGGGCGACGGCGCTGCGCCTTGCATCCGGATGGCGGTGGCTGCTGGTGAGCAAGGCGATTCATGTGCAGCCAGAGCTTGTGCGACCTGTTGCCCTCGTGCCCCGGCCCGGCCAAGCTCAGGGGACTGTCTCTCTGGGGGAGAGGTGCTTTGCCTTGTGCCAGAGCGCGGGCGTGGAGTCTCAGCCGGAAAGCTGCATAGCAGAGCTGAAGAAGTTCATTGCGGAAGCAGCTGCCAAAAATGCGCAGAACGCGGAGTTCTCTGTTGAGCTTGTCACGCCTGCGGTCGCTGAGGTTCTCAAGGCTTGCGCTTGCCGCCATTTGTGCTCACTGAGGGTGCCGGCAAAATGCCCGCAGGCGCTCGACGGGAAAGTGTGTCAAGTACGAAGAAGGGGCTCCGCCTCCAGCCGGCTGCTCATCGCCGCGCAGGGCTGCTTCCGAGTGGTTGCAGAACGGTACAAGTGTCAGACTCATGATCGCAAGTGGCTGTTGCCGACGGGCGATAGCACGACTGGCTGCAACATCGTTGCTGACGCAGTAGGAGATTATCTGGTTGACCGCGACTGGTGGCCTACTGCAATCAACATCTTCACAGAAACAGAGAGCGTTGTAGCAGTCGAGCGGCGCATGCGGCGGATTACAGCGACCGCTCTGGCAGCCTCTTTCTCGCAGCAAAGGGTGCAACACGCCCTCAGTCAAGTAGAGCTGCCGCTGCTGCCCTGTTCTCCCGGATTACGATCTGGATGAGAGCCATCACCGGAGGACACCGTCGCCGGAGCCCTCGACTCCTCACCCAGAGGCAAGTTCGAGTAGAGCCGCTGCTCCCACGACACCACCCTATCCCGGACCAGGTTCACGTGCCTATGCTGCACCAGTGCTTGCTGGCACACTGCCGAAAGGTTCCATCTTCTCGCGCCTTCAAGAAATTCTTGTGCTGTTGGCACGAGACTGCTGGGCGTGCATGCATTGTTTGCAAACTATATGATATTCATGTTTGGTATGTCTCTTTTTGTGGGGCTTGGAAAGGCCTATTCCGTGCCCTACAAGGCCGGGTCTGGCAGGAAGGGTGAAGATGTGAGACCTTGCCCGTTGCAAGCTCCACAGGCCCACGAAACTTTTCGCAAAAAGTCGAAAAGTCAAAAACTTTTCGGCTTTTCGACTTTTCGACTTTTCGAATTTCTGGGGACTTTTCGACTTTTCGAGTGTTTTTTGAGACTTTTCGACTTTTCACTTTTCGACTTTTCGAATATAAAACACACAGTTTTCATTTTGTGTCCGTGACCAGCCAGAGGACACCACTCGGTGTTGGGAAGACCCCCCCCAAATGAAGGGAGGGGCTGCTCTTTTGAGTTTTAGAAGACACCCCTCCCCCCAAGTGGCGGGTTCCTTTTGGTTTTCCCTGAAAAAAGATCGACCAAGGGTTCTTTGAGGAAAGAGAGAAGCCAAATGGGTACGCCTGGAGTTTGGTTTTCCAAAAGAAGCCAACAGGTTTGAAGACTTTGGCCAGGGGAACCTGAAAGTTGTTTGGACAAGAGGTGGTTGGATCCCTGGTTGGCGCCGGCCATGCCCGCCATGCCCTTGGGCGCCAATCCGCTATCGCACATTTGCAGATTCTGTATCTCATGGAGTCCCTACGGCGTGGTCCAAGGGTTCCTAAGGCTGCCCAACGAACCCTAAGGAAGCGTAAGGAACCCTAAAGAACCCTAAAAAACCCTAAGGAACCCTGAGGAACCAAGGAACCCTAGCCACACCCCGTGTACCTACCCTCCTTAAGGATTGGTATAACTTAAGGTTTCCCTACTTGTTCCCAGTTGTGTGGGCTCTAAACCCCAATCCTCGCCCAATGCTTAAGGGAGTTGGTGCCCCTTTTTGAGTCGGTAGGCGAAACCAAGGGGCGTTCAAAGACTGCCCTTGCTAAGTCCCTTGACCATGTTAGGTGACGTGAGATGTAGGACATATTTCGTGGAAGTCCGAGATATCGCCGGGCAACTGGGAAATTCTCGGGGTACCTTCCATTTCCATTCTTTCCAGGGATCCTTCTTTTCAGGAAACCTCAAAAACTCAGGGGAAACAGATCGGATTTTTGAAAAGAACGATGGTTGAAAAGAATGGGGAATCAACCTCTTGAGAAATGGTGGATGTTAAACATTTCGAAACGCAAGCATGAATATTGCTACTAGTATGTTTTTTCAGAGACCCCTGGCACATGCGATGCGCAACTATCACGTGGCTTTCCCCAGCCGACCAAACCAACCCTCGGTCCGAGCAAACCTGCGCATGATGGATCAAATGTTGATTAAACCTTTCGGCTTCAATCCCATTCCCCAGTATGCACTGCACAGCAGTCCTTTTGGGCTCTGTGCACTTCCATTTTGGTGGGCAGCCTATTGCCATTCAGGTGGGTATGAACCTTAACCTCATAGTACCACTGATTATATTGGTGTGGAGGGTACCCTTTTCGGGTGGACAACAGCAAGCCACTCATTTTGGGGTACGAGTCAAAATAGGGGCACACACACACACACACCCATTTAGAGGCAACTGCATTTTGGCCTTGGATGAGAGGATACCATTCAAGTCCGTCCGCTGCCTTTGGCTTCAGCTTGCTTGAGCGCATCCAGCGACCCCTCATCGCGTGACTGCGGATGACTAAGCTTCTCTTCCTGTCTTTAGGCCATGCGAGGTCTCTTGGAACAAACTGGATCCAAGACTTTCCACCGGGCCTTTTCCCTCAGCAAAAAAAGGGACGCGCCTTGATTTCTGGGTCTAACTAACTGTTGGTGCCATGGCGCTTCCCGCGCTGGCGATTACCGCGCTGCTGGGCTGGGCTTCCGCAGCCACTGCCGCGGCCGGCGCGGCCGATGCGGCCGAAGCGCCTCCGGGGCAGATTTGGCCGGAGGTGCGGGCGCCGGCTGGGCGCCTGCGGGGCGCAAAGCGGGGCCAGGCGCCAAAAAATGGGCGGGGGGGGGGGGGGTCTTAACTGTTGGATGTTTGGGTGTTTTTGGGATGTTTTTGGAAAGTCTCTTGGGGGCATGTCTTTGGGATGTTTATGTCTTGGCGCTTGTCTTGGGTGATGTCTTTGGGATGACTCTTCGGATGTGTTTGAAAGGATGCTGTCTTTGCAGGTGTCTGTGGGGAGGGGGGGCCCAAGGGGGGCTGAGGAGTGGGGAGTTTGGGGGAGGTTGGTTGAGGGGGGGCGGGGTGGTTTTGGGGGTTTTGGGGGTGGGTTTGGGGGCTGCGTAATTTTGGATGCTCTGGTTGTGGGCTTGCCATTTGGATGTGCTGGTTCTTTTTGACAGCCATGCGGTTTCAGCTTTCCCAGCACCCCGTGGATACACATAATTTTTCCCTGCTGCCATCTCGCTCGCCAGAGGAACTTTGAGAGGGCACTCCTTCACTTTTTGTTCTGAGTAGGGGGGAGGGGGGTTTGGCAGAAGGCGGGGGTGCTAGGGCTCGTGCAGATTTGCAGACAATACTTGGCACATGTACATGGCGCATGGAAATTCAGGATTTTCCATGGGAAAGGGCTTCCAACGCAGATATCCAATGGTCTGGGTTTGTCGACTCTCTAAACTACAAGATTCCCTTGTCGAGTAGGCTAACAGTAAATTTGGACCAGGGGTCCTGTTGGGTTTGGTCCTTTTTGGGATGGTTGTTAGAGGAGACCAAAAGGAAACCAACCACCAGGAATTGCTCCATAAATTTGAGAAACCATTTGGCGATGAACTTTAGTGGGGAGGTCCCGCCAATCCCCGCCCACCAGATGAATCCCTATGAAGGCTGCGATTCACCACTCCTGAACTGGTGCAGGAGGTTGTCCAAGGTGTTTCTCCATTACCCGTGTGAGTATGATTTTTTGGGGACCTGCTCACAATTGGACGCGAGCCGGGACCAAACTTCAAAAGTCCACAAGAACCCACTTACCGTGGTTATGCGTCTCCGTTCAGTGGTTATGACCAGGCGGAACCACTTGCAAAGTACACTGCGCCTTTAAGAAACCCGCAACCCTGGAATGAGTCGATTCCAACTTCAATTGTTTTGGGGGAATTCCCACATTCCCTACCTAGGTCCCCCAGTAGTGCCCTTTTTCACCCCTTTTTTGGTTGGGAGGGTTCCCCTACTAAAATAGACGTCCAGAAAAAAGTTGGTACCAACATATTCTAACCTCTCTACTGGAGGACCCTGGAAGGGAACCCCAGGTGTCCTTCTTGGTGGTTGTGCTCAGAATACAGTTTTGGCCCTGAACAATGGTTCAATCATCTACCCAGGGCCATCTATTTTCCAAAAAGGACACCTATGGGAACCTATCACACCAAGAGATTCATGTACATCAACCGTCTTACAAAAGGGGTACATAAGCCTGGTTGTTGTTGGGAAACATTTTTCCTTTTTGCTGATTGTGGTTTAGTGGGAACCCCCCACTTAACTGCTAAAATTTAACTTTTTGCTCCCCTTCCATCGTCAACCAAGTAAGAACTATATACTACATACGTGTTCCCCATGTAAATCAAACGTTTTGGGGGGGAATTCCCCCACTCCCTATCGCACCAGCAGCTTCGGCCGCTCAGCTCCACGTCTTTTTGGGGGTGCCCTACGCCGAGCCGCCGCTGGGCAGCCGCAGGTGGCGGCCCCCCACGGCCCTCCCGGCCTGGGAGGGTCTCAGCGCCCCGGCGAGGTGGCGCTTGACATGGGGCTGCTTGGGGTTGTTTTGTTAGTGTTTTTGGGGGCATGTAGTTTTATCATAACATGTTTCCACGCCACGGCCAATGCGCCGTTTGGCTCAAGCTTTTGATTCCGGCAGAACAATCTGCTAGCACGTCACCCGCGCCATTCTGGCGCCGCTATTGGTCTCGCAGCAAAAGGCGCTGCGGGCCCGACCAGCGGCGAGGTGGCCAGGGTGGTGTTAGGTCGGGTTCGTTTCTGGGAATTTGCTGTGTTGCTGCTGCTCCGCTTTCGCCTGGTTAATTGCTTTGCTCGCTTGCTTGCTGCGCTTGCCTGGTTGGCTGCGCTGGTCCCCTTTCCTGTTTGGGTTTTGCGGTTAAACAGGATTCCCCGTTTGTTATCTGTGTGGTTCATTGCCAGCCGAGGGCACCACTTTGCCCTTGGGACTGGGGGGCTTAAACTGTCTCTTCTTGTTGGTGGGTTAGGGCCTGTTTATTCTCTCCCGAAATACTGTTTCAAACCCTTTCGCAGGTTATCAGCCGTAGGATTCGTCCTCGGTTGGCACCGCGAACCCCATTTAATAACAACCCTGCAGGCGCCGTTTTCCATAGGCTACTGTAGGACTCATGGCGGGAATCACCGAGGATGGACCTCATGTGGTGACCGATGAGTGGGTTCTCGGCCAGGCCGGAATCTTGGACGTTGTGAATGACGACCAAGTGCCCGGACAGCCGATGTTTTCCGGTCCTGACTTTTTGTCGGACCACACTTTTTCAGAAGCAATGCCTTCAGGAAGGTCCAGTGCTACTCGCACTGATGACCTATCGTCTAATGCCTCAAGAGCTAATCGCTCTCAGGGTCATGGGGCTAATCGTCCTGACCATGATGATTCCGTCTCAGGACGTGATGATGACGAGCCCGGTATTGCACCTGGAGCTCAATCCTCATCTTTCCCGGAGCTGATGAATATTGGTCAGTCCGAGTTTCGTGATTCTCGAGGTAGCAGTAGACCTGTGCCAACCAGCAGTACAGTTTTTCAAGCGCTCGGTAATCCCGAACCTGGTACATCCAGTGGGGTTGCATTCGATGTTCATCTGCCGACCGAATCCGGTGGGCTCGATTGGAGAGCCTCATGGCCCAACGACGGAAATATTTTTGGTATGGATTTTGCCGCATGGATGCCAGGGCTACCCGCCCCGTCATCTTTCCCGCAATTCCAAAGCCCAAAACGGGCTGCTGGAAGCGATGAATTCATGCTACCTTTGTCGATTGAGAATCTCAATCCTGACGTGGCCAGCCGTAACGTCAGGCCAAGGCCGTCGGTAAACCCGACCATGAGGAACATGTCCCCGCCCCCAGGACTTTCAGGATTTGAGAGCCCTAGGGAGCGTAATATTGTAGATAGATTGGATTTGCATCCCAGTCCAACCCCGAGCAAACGATCTAGGTCAAATTCGACTGGATCGCATAGGGCAAGGGGGATGGATCGGGAAACCGCCCACAGGGGTAACCCCAGTGCGCGGGACTCAGGACGCGGTCGATCAGGTGATCCAGCGTCAATCATTGGTAGAGACCCGCTAAACGCGGACACGCTCGTTAACGTGCTTGATGGAATCGAAGCATTCCAGGAGGAATTTAATAGGTCAAGTGGCATGAACGCACAAGGTGTTCGCCCTACGCCCAACGCGGCTTCCATTTTCGCTCTGGACGGCATGGACGGAGCTAATGTTCCGATAGAATCTGAATCCATGATGGCATCAAGTTCTAGTCGCAACCATACTATCAGTAATGCGACTGATATTGAATCGATGTCTGAGTCTAGAGTGTCCAATGCGACCGACTTGAATGACATTGTTATTGCTGACTCGAGACCTGATGTTCCTATGCGAACGGATAGGCCTGTTGTTCCTAAACTGCCCGTGGCCAAGGGCCTGGGCATGACACAATCCTCTGCGGTTCGTGATGCTAGGAGATCTGCTCCGTATCAGAGTCAATCTCCTAATCGGAGTGAGTTTCCACGGCCATCAACGGCCGTGCAGGATGATTTCAGAACTCCTCCGAGATCTAATCCAATCATGGTTGATTTGTCCACTCCTCGTGATCGCGGATCAGGATTTGGTCCTACGAATGAGGAGCAACCCAACGAGGTTGCTGATCTTGTAACAGCCCTTGAAAGAGGGAGAGTGGACTCTTCGGTAAGTGCGATTATTCATCGCCTGGCTGCTAAGGTCGAAGACCTTGGTCGTAGGAATGATAGAAGTGATCAATGCATCAAGCAGCTCTCCACTGAGGTTAACTCGTGGAGGGCCAAATACGACCAATGCGTCCATGTGAGTAGCACGTGTACGCAGGCTGCGAACGCGGCCATGCAGCTGTCACAAGGGACTAAGGACATCGTGACCGAGCTTGGCCAACGCGTCAAGATCGTTTCCAATCGCATGATAAGCATAGGCGATGCCCTAAATGAGCGAGCCAGCTATGATGATGTTGCTCGCTCCATCACCCAGGTTCAAACTGTTTTTGAATCTCTCTCTGATCGAGTAACCGGGCTTATAGCTCGTGTTGATATGATCGAGAGATCTCTAGTGGAGAGCCAATCCAACCATCCTGCAATTGGTGGGGTAAACCTCAAAATCGAGGACCTGTCCACTAGGGTATGTCAGATTGATAGGATGATGCAAGATGTCGAACAACGCTGGACCAATAATAGGGACGGCATAAAGTGGGTTAAAGACCAACTTTATGAGACACAAGCCAACCTTGAGATGAAGTCAAGGGACTGCAAGTCCTACACGGACAAGCAAAATACTCATAACATGGCCGTTTCGACTACGCTCAACAGTAAGCTCGAGCAAATGCTCGAGGTGCTGGGTAATACGGCCCAGAGAATCAGCTCCATCGAGTCAAGGCACTCGAACCAGGCCTCAAGTAGTGGATTGAACGATCACACAGGAGGAAGGCGAGCCGCGTCCCGCACTCCGGATAAGCGGCCACCTCCACCTGGCCCTCGATCCTCCACCACCTCCTCCTCCAGATTGGCAAAACCCAGGAGGAGGGGGGCAGAAGAGTGCTGCCGGTGGGAACCCTGGCAACCCTGGTAAACCCAGATGTAAATATGTAGGTGATGGATATAATCATCTCATGGCTGAGTTTCACTGCAAGGGATGCAGAGGTGATATTTGTGAGTATTGTTTCTCGTTTAAAGAGAACCTGTGTGAAGAGTGTTCCCGTAACGGACCCCGATGCGGTGTCTGTAGGGAGAGCTCGTTCCTGACCAAGGGAATTGAGTGTCAGTTTTGTAAGACCTACTACTGCACCAGACATTCTGCTGGGCAGGATGACTACAGGAGATTTGGATTTGTCCAGGGTCCCTGTTGTCTTGCGTGCCTCAGAGATGAAACTAGGAGAAGAAGGGATCCCGATGGTAACCGTGTCAGGAATAGATCGCCTGGAGGCGTACCTGAGACGAACCCGACGCGGTCGTTCTCGCCGCCTCTGCGGCCACCCGTTGACAGATTCCGTGACACCCCAACTGGGGGTCAACCCAACGCGGCTGACCTTCAGAGTCCTCCGAAGGCTACGCAACCCGTGCCCCTGGATAAACGTGAAACCGGATATTATCCAGGATTTGATCCCAACGGTACAAGGCCAAAGGATCCTTCAGGCCTTGAGCCGCCGACCATGCGTGGCCCCGATCCTCCTGACAAGAAATGTCGGATGTGTGATCGGGATATTCCTGACCCCAGCAAAATTGAGGAATGTAAGATATGCATGAAAAGGGCATGTGAGATTTGCATTCCGAAGGCTACACGCCTTTGTCCTGTATGTGCATTGTCAATCGGTAGTTCTCAGGTTCCACAGCATCTTTTCGGAACTGGTGGCGGCGGATACAGTAGCCACCATGATCCGAACTGTACAGCTGCGACTAAGTGCATTTCCATAGACCTCCCGCCAGAGCCCGACGCGGCTGGGCTGAGGGTATGGATAGCCAATATGAAGGAAGCTGTTAGCAATGCCTACAGCTATGATGGACTTTACGTCATCAATTGGCTAACTGAAGTCGAGAAGGCAAAGACCTTTGATGAACTGGATGGGGAATGTAAGTACCACATCCTCGAAGCCAGGTTCAATGCAGCCATTCGGAAGTGCATCAAGACTGTTGCGATCATCGATAAGATTAATCGTCTCACCGAAGCCGCTCAACGCTCCAACAATCGCATCAAGAGTAGGCAGATCCTGTGGCTCTTATACGACCACTTAAGGACTGCGAATATCGGGGAGCAATCGTTCAGGATAATTGAGCTCTCAAACTTACGATGCAGTACATCATCTTTCTATACTGAAGAGGAGCGACTTGAAAGGTTCATCGCGAAGTGGGATCACATCCTTGCGGGTCTCGATGAACCGCTGACCGAACAGGTAAAGCGGTCGCTATTCAGTGAGAAGGTTAGACACCTCAACTGTTTGGCCCATGATATCAGGGAATGGGATAGGAACATATCCAACCCTGATGTTTGTAGCTATGAATGGCTTCGTGCTCGTTGCAAGAACGAAATTGACCGTTGGAGGGTTCGTAAGAATCAGGTCAATATGCACAAAGACTTTTATGAGCGATCTCAGTCCAGGGACAGAGCCCAGAAACCTGGTGCTCCTGGTCCTCCCGTTAGGAGACGATCTCCGTTTGGAGATTCCCATAGGCCTAATCGGCCTCCTAGCGATCCGAGAAAGAGGACTGGTAATACCCCTAGTCCTCATCGAAGGGACAGGTACTCTCCCAGGAATCGGGAGCAGGACAAGCGGCGTACGCCTAGCCCTAGGGGCGAGCCCCCGAGGAGGCCCAGATCTACGTCGCCCGGCGCTCCTGCGATTGATGCATGTAGGGACTTCGCGCGTGGATACTGTTCGCGCGGGCAAGAGTGCAAATTCGCACACACGAGAACTGGGAGTTCCGATGCTAAACGCAAGGAGCGTCCTCCCCTGATTCCAGGGTATTGCGCCCA